TATATGTATATATATGTACATATATATATGTATATATATGTACATATATATATGTACATATATATATATGTATATGTATATGTATATATATGTATATATATGTGTGTATATATATATATATATGTGTGTATATATATGTATATATATATGTGTATATATATATGTATATATGTGTATATATATGTATATATATATATGTATTGTAGTCTTTGTGTTGAACATCCTGATGTCGGCCGGTTCATATCCAATAAATAAATATGTATTTTTGAATGACTAAAATACTTATGACATTTTGCAACACATTGGGACAAAAAATAACTTTAATGAGCCATTTTTAATAATTTAAAGCATGTTCCATTTGTGCAAATGTAAGAGTGTTTCTACACATTTCAATAATGTCTTCAGATTTGTGCAACAAAACAATCGATTCATAAACTGCCGCTGAAAAGTTTGGAGTCGCGTGTTTTTCTTGATGGATCGAGGACCAAGAGGAGTGAGACTGGTTTAGAATATTAGGGTGGAACCGTGTCCTGGACTGACCCCTGTCTGGAGGATCAACTAGAGCTGGAAGTCTCCATCTTCTCTGTGGTTTTGGGGAAGACGATTCCCAAAATGTCTGATACTTGTTTAAATAATCACAAAGAGTTTCATTGAAGTAAAAGTCTTTAAGTCACGATGAGGTGACACAAAGGTAAAAAGCATTTGCAGTATTATGAACTGTGGCGTCATCACTGAGTAGTGAGATCCAACAAAAACAAGACGACCTGTAACTTTAAATCTTTTAGAAGTCAGAATCTACTAACGTGTCTTCACTGTTGTCAAGAATCCTCCAAATGTCCCAAACCCATATAATCCTGTTATCCTGTCTCGTCTTAAGTCCTCGCGTCCTCTTCAAAGACTTTGACCTTGAAATGGGACACTGGTTCATTTTACTTACCTCACCGAAACATGAATTCTGGGTAATGCAGTCTTTAAATCTCTAGCTGCCAGAGTACAAACATTCCAGACGAGTTCCGTCCACGTCAGCCGAAGGCGTTACCGTTGCGGGCGGCGTGGGTGCTGACCCGGTTCCTGCTGCGGACAGGTCGGTCCCGACTGAAGACGGTGTCCTGGTCGCTGTCCAGCTCCGATTCGGACATCATCAAGCTGGAGTTGTGCTCTGTGCTGCGGTGTTTGATACCTGCAGACAGGTGATGAGTTTAGTTCTTACAGGTCTAGCAAGGAAAGCAAGGAATCTATATAACAAGGAATCTATATAACAAGGAATCTATATAACAAGGAATATACAGTATATAACAAGGAATCTAGAAAACAAGGAATCTATAAAACAAGGAATCTATATAACAAGGAATATTTTAAGCAAGGAATCTATACAAGGAATATATAAAACAAGGAATCTGTAAAGCAAGGAATATGTAAAGCAAGGAATATATAAAACAAGGAATCTATAAAACAAGGAATCTGTAAAACAAGGAATCTATAAAGCAAGGAATCTACTGTATATAACAAGGAATCTATATAACAAGGAATCTATAAAACAATGAATATATAAAACAAGGAATCTGTAAAGCAAGGAATATATAAAGCAAGGAATCTAAAGCAAGGAATATATAAAGCAAGGAATCTGTAAAGCAAGGAATATATAAAGCAAGGAATATATAAAGCAAGGAATCTATATTACAAGGAATCTATATAACAAGAAATCTATATAACAAGAAATCTATATAACAAGGAATCTATATAACAAGAAATCTATAAAACAAGAAATCTATAAAACAAGGAATCTATATAACAAGGAATCTATATAACAAGGACTATATAAAGCAAGGAATCTGTAAAGCAAGGAATATATAAAGCAAGGAATCTATATGACAAGGAATCTATAAAGCAAGGAATATATAAAACAAGGAATCTATAAAGCAAGGAATCTCATCAATGCTGCTCTATCAAAATAAAATGACTGAACACTGCAGCAGTCCTTTATAAATGCAGCTCTATTAAAATAAATTCATTCCCATGCTGCTGCTCTTCTTTCTTTCTGATCTGTCAGGTCATAGAGTAAAATACATTGTTGCAAAAAGATCCTGATTCATGAATAGCTTTGGATAAATAAATACGTACTTTTAGATAATACATAGTTGACTCCCTATAAAAGACCGACATACACAGTAAAGAATAATATTTTCTGATTCTTATATGTAAATCTGAATCGGCAGGTCATACTTTTATTTACTCGGCAGTGTTTTGTGTATCTGCAGCGCTTTGAGGTCTCAGGGCCACCGTACTACCAATGAGGCTCTAAGTGAAGTAACTCACTGAATTTGGGTCTGAGCTCCACCCTCTCCTGGTCATCCATGTTGTCCAGGATGGTGTATTTCGTTTTCTTCCTCACTTTGGTCTGTCTCCTCCTGAACACGGTGGACACAAACAGGCCATTCAGAATCACAGTGATGATAAACGGTAAAGCAGAGGACGGTCTGTGAACATGATCACCTCCTGCAGCAGCAGATGAAGGTCCAGGTGATGGACAGGATGAAGACCACGAGCATGAAGCTGGTCAGGATGACGTACAGCACCCTCCACTCTACAGGAAGAACAGGGTCAGACCGGAACCACATGAAACCTGCTGCATCTGAACGAGGACATGAGCTGCTACTAAACACAAAGGAGCACCTGTTGCCCTTTTTTAGGAAGCATGTAACTAATACTCGAGTACTGCATGTTAGTACAAATGTGAGGTACTTATACTTTTCTTGAGTCCATTAATCAATCAGTCCATTAATCAATCAATCCATTAATCAATCAGTCCCATAATCAATCAGTCCATTAATCAATCAGTCCCATAATCAATCAGTCCATTAATCAATCAGTCCATTAATCAATCAGTCCATTAACCAATCAGTCCCATAATCAATCAGTCCATTAATCAATCAGTCCATTAATCAATCAGTCCATTAATCAATAAGTGGATTTATTAATAATAATGTTATTGATGTTAATATATTAGTAATAATGTTATTAGTGTTAATGTATACTTGTAGTATAACTACTTTTACGGAAACAGGACTTTAACTGTAACAGAGTATTTTTACATTGTGGTATTAGTACTTTTACTGAAGTTTTCTGCTCTCACGTTTTCCCTTGAACAAAGTAAACTTAACTAAGTGTTGATAGTTTAATCTGATGCCATGATAAAAGCTTATTTATACCACAGTTATTCTCTCCATCGCCAAGGTATCTACGAATGAGGTTCTCCGTCCAGAAGGAGTCACATGCACACTCCTTTGTGATTGGATCACACTGACCACGCCCAGAACAGCGAAGCAGGCACACTGAAAGAAAAAGTGAGTGAGAAAATGATTGTTTTTGTTTCTTTAAAGGCCTTTAAAGAAACCAGGAGCCTGCAGTGACTGTGCAGTGAACTGGGTCTGGTCTCTGCACTGACAGGTCCTGAGCAGTTTGAACTCACAGGCGGTGTCGACTCTCAGGACTCTGAACAGCAGGTAGTCGCTCTTCTCTCTGAGCAGCTGGTTTCTCAGCAGACCCACCAGTCTGGAGCCAGGGTTAGGGTTAGGGCCGATCCCTGAGGGGCCCCGAACCGAGAACCGCAACACGGTGCTGAACCAACACAGACAGACAGAAACTATTGGTGACTTTTGTTGGGCAACGATTACAATTTTTGATCGCGATTAATCTCATTGTTATGAGCAAAATTTAATAATTAATTCAAAAGTAGTGTATTGTGCACTTTTATTTTGAAAGTGCTGCTCTATGAACTAAAGGTGAATAACATTGTGTGTAAACACTTTAAACACATCAGGTTGTTGTTAGCAGCAGTGTTCTCTTCACACAGCAGCAGTTCCATCTCTTCACTATCTGTGCTCAGTGTGTGAAACGTTCCACTGCTGTGCAACAGGAACAACATGTTCCACACGTTCCATCTACATTACTCTTCATCACTATGATGCTGTAACTCAGAGGCGATGAAGGTGAC